TTATGGGTCCCCGAAAAAAACTAAACAACACAAAAATTTTTACAAAGCCCCAATTTAACATTATGAGAAGGAAACCTCCAAATGAGCCATTGAGTGTGTTTTCTATTGGCCATCTGCTGCTGGGCATGCAGCCTACCCAATAAGAGCTGTTTGTTTCCCCCATGAGGCTCCCTTGAAGAAAAAAATAATTTGTAAGAGATTTTCAATTGCAGATAGCTTCTGGATGGGGGATGAGAGCATGTATCTAGGACCCCATCTGGTACAGACCCATGCAGGACCTATGCATGCTGCCTCAGTCTCTGTGAGTTCATATGTTCCTCTGTCCTCTGGAACAGAGAAGGTCTTGTTTGCTTGCAGTCCCCCAAATCCTCTGGCTCTTTGTGCCTCTCCTTGCAGTGTTATTCCCTGAGCTATGAGGGGAGAAATTTGATGGACACATCCAATTTCGGGCTGAGCATTTCAAGGTCTCTCACACTCTGCATAATGTCTGGCTGTGGGTTTCTGCGTTCATTCCCATCTGCTTCAGGAAGTTGCTTCTCTGATGATGGGTGAGCAAGGCACTAATCTACACACTACAGCTGAATACCCTTAGGAGTCATTTAATTGCTACATTTCTTTAGTATAACAGTAACATTTGGTTTTGCCCTAGGTCCCTGGGCTATCTAGTTTCAATTCTTGGTGACCCAAGAACCATCAGGTTGATTGCATTAGTTGTCGGGAACAGTAACCATGACCTGGTGACTGCTTTTGTCACCCTTGCCTTCTAACCCGTAGCTACTGAAAGGTTCATGGTTTGACGCAGATCGGCTCTACCTCCTTAAGAGACAAACCCCGCCCCCTGACACAGTCTGGGCATGCACAGGAGCCCAGTCACCCGCCATGCATTACGGCCTGCTGAGGACTCTGGGCTTGCATGGAACCTCAGTGTGCATGCCCAGTCTTCTCTTTAAAAGCTCCAACTTCTCCCTCTGCTTCCTTTCTACTCTCTGCTTCCTCTCTACTCTCTCTCTCTCTGCTTCCTCTCTACTCTCTCTGTTTCTTCTTGGCTCTCTCTCACCATGCGCGCTCTCTCTCTGCCTCTCTATGGCGACCAGCCATGGCAGTCGGCCAGGCCATTACCCCTGTTCCTCTTCTCTCTTAGTCTCCCTACTCTGCCGGGCCATATAATAAACTAGTCAACATGACTCATCTCACAGCTTTCTCTTTTCCTCTTTTTAATAAAAACATAACAGCTACCATGCATGAGTGTATCTCCATCCTCGTTGGCCAGGCTGGTGTCCAGATAGACAATGCCTGCTGGAAGCTCTACTGCCTGGAACACGGCATCCGGCTGTAAGTGACGAGACCATTGCGGGAGGAGATGACTCCTTCAACACTTTCTTCAATGAGACAGGCGCTGGCAAGCATGTGCAGTGTTCATAGACCTGGAACGCAGTTATCTATGAAGTTTGTACTGGTACCTACTGCCAGCTCTTCCACCCTGAGCAGCTCATCACAGGCAAGGAAGATGCTGCCAATAACTATGACCGTGACCACTACACCATTGGCAAGGAGATCATTGATCTTGTGTTGGACAGAATTCGCAATCTGGCTGACCAGTGCACAGGTCTTCAGGGCTTCTTGGTTTTCCACAGCTTTGGAGGGGAAACTGGCTCTGAGTTCACCTCCCTGCTGATGGAGCGCCTCTCTGCTGATTATGGAAAGAAGTCCAAGCTGGAGTTCTCCATTTACCCAGCCCCCCAGGTTTCCACCGCTGTGGTTGAGGCCCACAACTCTATCCTCACCACCCACACCACCCTGGAGTACTCTGATTGTGCCTTCATGGTAGACAATGAGTACATCTATGACATCTGTTGTAGAAACCTTGACGTTGAGCACCCCACCTACACTAACCTTAACCACCTTATTAGCCAGATTGTGTCTTCCATCACTTCTTCCCTCAGATTTGATGGAGCCTTGAATGTTGACCTGACAGAATTCCAGACCAGCTTGGCACCCTACCCTCGCATCCATTTCCCTCTGGCCACAAATGGCCCTGTCATCTCTGCTGAGAAAGCCTACTGTGAGCAGCTTTCTGTAGCAGATATCACCAATGCTTGCTTTGAGCCAGCCAACCAGATGGTGAAATGTGACACTCGCCTTGGTAAATACCTGGCTCGCTGCCTGCTGTACCATGGGGATGTGGTTCCCAAAGATGACAGTGCTGCCATTGACACCATCAAGACAAAACACAGCATCCAGTTTGTGGATTGGTACCCCACTGGCTTCAAGGTTGGCATTAATTACCAACCTCCCACTGTGGTACCTGGTGGAGGCCTGGCCAAGGTCCAGAGAGCTGTGTGTATGCTGAGGAACACCATAACCTTTGCTGAGCCCTGGGCTCGCCTAGATCACAAGTTTGATCTGATGTATGCCAAGCATGCCTTTTGTGTGCTGCTATGTGGGTGAGGGTATGGGGGAGGGGGAGTTCTCTGAGGCCCATGAAGACATGGCTGCCCTAGAGGAGGATTATGAGGAGGTTGGTATGGATTCCGTTGAAGAAGAGGGTGAGAAAAGAGAAAGATACTAATCCATTCTTTCAGCCCCTGGATCATGTCAACACTAGAACTTCAGCTTCAACATTAGCTGACAGGCATTGATTCCTCTAATTGTGTTATCTACATTCTGTGATCATGTCTTGTCTGTGTTCCTGTATGGTTTTTCCATAATTTCTCAAAGTAAAAAGCTTTAAAGGAAAAAAAAGAACCATCTGGTTATGGTTCCATCTTGTGCAGTGGGCCTTAAGTCAAATCTGATATTGAGTGATCATTCCCACAAGCTTTGTGCTACCATTGCATTAGCATATCTCAAAGGCAGGACATCATTGTGAGAAAGTTCTCATCTGGGTTGGTGTTTATGTTTCTCTTTTGATAGAGTGCATAGTATCTTCCTGTACTAAAGATGTTGGAACAAAAACATGAAGGCTCTATATAAGCACTGGCTCAACTTCTCCATGTTCATGAGTTGTGTCAGCATTGTCTTTACCAATGGGGCCTTTTTCTCAACCTAGGCATGAGAAAAACCTAGGCTTGGCAACAGTCTAGTTTGTTTTGAGGTTCCATGGGACCCCTTTGACCAGCAACTCAATTAAATATAACCCATTCCTAGTACTGGAAGTTTCTTTGGGTGACAGG